AAGTTTACAAGAAACAATACATTTATCATATGTCATTGTTTTATACAAAACCTGGGTAAATAATTTGCTCACAAAAGAGGGTTTTTTCAATGGATACATACCTTCCAAGAAGGAACACCTTGAGCAAAGACATGAGAGTAGCAAGTTGATGCCACACGGTTCTAAGCAGGGTGAACATGCCAGAAGCTGCCCTCCCTGGAACATAAAAAGTGGCAGTGTGAAATGTAATTACTGTGGCACACGTTCAAAGAAACCAAGCAGAGGGACATGCAACTGTGGCCAAGAACACTTTGCACAGCAGAGAAATGCACGAGTGCAGGCAATACGGACAGCTTATTAACATCTGCATCTCACCAGTCTGACAGCATTGTAATATCAGACACTCAACAAAACCAGCAGCCATGCAAAAAGAAGAAATGTTCATTTGTTTTAAAAATGTTCTCTTGCTAGAAATTCAGTATTAATGTTTGAATCCAAGCTATTACACACTGAACACCTCAACATGTTTCAAGAAAGGTACAGATTAGCAGCACCAGTTTTCGTTGAGAATACCCAGAGAGGAAGTGACTACCAAGCCAAACCAAACACCCCGTTATTCTTGACGCCTCATATTCTGTGCTATTCAGACACTCGTTTCCTCACACTCATTCCCTCATGAAACAGCCTGGTTAGTCTCCCATTATGCCTGTGAAGAGAAACAGACCCTCCCATTAAGCGTATTTTGGTCAATTAATAAAAAAAGTAGCACATTCATTACTGGGTACAAAAGCTGCAGCCTAAGCACAGTGGAATTAGTGCAAGCCACACACTGCAGATGCCTAGTTTGTCAAAAGGGACAGGCAACGCGCGCACACACAGAGTAGTAGGACAGTAACCTGGAGAAAGAATGGCCAGCCAAAGTAGAGACAACACCTTCTGAGACACAAGCCATCCAGTTGCTCCCACTGTCCGCAACACGTGAAGCATAAAGTAACCTGGATTATAACAAATTTGTGCCAGGTGGTAACATATAGATACGAGCTTATGGTTCTTTCGCAGTACATGCAGTAACACAGACCCAATCCCCTGCCCGGTACATGTTCTGCATTGTTCTATTCCACTCCTTTCAGTAATCTACTGACTTGGTTCTTCACTCTTTAAAAGCAAAGCAGCCACTAATAAATATGAAGCCAAGTAAAACAAAGACCATCTAGAAACAATTCTGAGGCACAGAGATAAACGATCAACAGCAACTGTACAGTTAAATATCAGTTTTCCAAACCCAGCAAAGTTTACATTTTGTAGCATGTTTATCTAAAAATGCCATGCTAACTGTGACAGAGAATAGCAAAAAGAAAGACTGTCATAAAAAGGAGTTTGAAGCACATCATTACTTTGAAAGCATCTTATTTGTTCCGAATTATGCATCAAATTCGTTATCTAGGCTCACATGTAGAAGAGGGAACAAACATAAATTTTAAATCCTAATGAATTAAACAGTGATGTCTAAGAAATATTAATAATAGAAAATAATCCCTACTAATAGTTACAAGTAGTGTATTTCAAGTGAATGTTCCCAACGATCTTCAGCATGTCACATTTGATTCTCTTATAGACCAAAACTGACAACAAAAAAAAAAACTACCCCAAACACTAGGAGGGAATGCTGTAACTTTTAGCCCACTGAAGTCAACAACTACTATATGCAGGATTAGGACTGTTCGTTCTACAGAACAAACTACTTAGGACACATTCAGAAAATAATCCTACATTTTTAGATCAGCAGATAAGTCTCTGGGTTAATCTGAGGGATTATAGATATACCAACCCAATATTTTGCAAAGTGTCTCAAATCATTTTCCTTTGCTGAACAAAGAGCACTCAACAGATCCTTGATGCCTCTGTCATTCAAGCTAGGGAACGCTCATCTCACAGGGAAGATTCTATCCCTATAGAAGATTCCTGTAAAAATTGACTATCACTAGAACAAAAATAAAATGTTAAAAACCCTTTATTCAAATAATCTGTATACCAATACCTCATACTTTGCTTTCATTTTAAGGCAGCTTTTCAACCTACTGAGCGTAGACTTCCCCAGAGAACATTAAATTAACAGTCTGATTTGTTCTCTAACATACAAGGTGCATGCTGTCCTTATGCCTTGTTTTTACTAACAGGTAAGCAGTCTGCCAAGCTTCTATAAAAGCCCATATAATAGCAAGAAGTCAAAGTTAGGAAAGGTGTTAAGTAAGTTAATTTTCTAGATAGTTTACACTTCTACTTTGATAGATAAAGGTAGGGAAAAAAGAAAAAAACCCACCCCAAACAGTATGTATGATTAGCATTGTGAAATTGTGTTGCAAAATAAAAAAGGTCCAAGTCAACCTGCATAAGAAAGGGTGTGCCAAATGGTCCTTGCTACCCTTTCAGCCCATGAGGACTGCATGTGGTCTGTGATGTGTATTTCAAGGTTTTTCTTCCCCTTACAGTCATCACCTGTTGGTTGTGGTAAGAGTGAGTTAACGGGACAAAGCCAGGACCAAATGAAGATTGTTACAAGATAAGTCAAACAAGTCTATTTCATAATATTCATTATCAAACTAAAAAACACTAAGCAAACTTCAGTGGAATAAAGCTTGCTTGGGGAAATAACTACAGTACACCAGGTAATCGCCATTCTCCCCCTAACATCTTAGTTGCAAAACAAACATTTACTTTTCATAGAGTCATGGGGCATCTGGTATTACTATTACAGCAACAAACTGCATTTTAGCCCAAGGCTAAAAGACAACATCAATCATGCTTACATATTGATTCCTGAGTTACACCAAGATGTCTATCTTCTCTGTAAGACCCCTTCACATTCATGCTTCCACAGTAGTCCGAGTGAGCTGTAACACATTCAAAAAGCATACGTGGAATGTAACTCTCAAGTTCGAAGCCTTTCATGTATGTGGATTTTAGCTAAACTGGCTTAGTTCACAATTAAAGCCAGGTTACTCACAGGAGACCTGAAAAATGACCAAGGAAGAAGGCTACTCTATGCAATCTTATTTTTCCTTCTGCAAGTATCAGGGGGCCTTTTGGTCAAAAAAAAAAAAAAAAGTATCTTTCTGCTTCTTTTCAGATAGCAAAGTTAGTAAAAAACCAAAACACTAAAGTAAAAACTCATCAAATCTTGAGTCCCTATTCTCATCATTCTATCAAATGGGCCAACTGTCACATCTTTGTATTGGTTTTATCAGAGATCTTAAAAGACCAAGAAAAGAGCATTAGCATGTTATAAGGCACTGAGGCAAAGAGAACAGTTTAAGTCAAACAGAAAAATTGGTTACCTCCTGCCTATGGCAATTTAACTTCACTTGTAGATTGCGTATTACAGAAAAGAAAGCACCAAAGAAGAATATTTTCAGGGAAAACAAGATGTGCTTTAGAGTAGCAGAGGCATGATGGTAATTTTAGTTCTGCAAGACAGATCTAATCAAGCTTTGAGTACACAGTGGGCTTAAGGGTAACAAGAGAGTCCCAACCTAAAGACATTGAAAAGTTTGGATTTGACACTATCACACCAAGCAGTTTAAAACCAACCTGAGTTTCTCAATTTAAACATTTCCCTTCTACTGCTTCCAAGGAAAAAATAAACGTGTGCATCTTAACTGTAACAGGTCTCTCATACGTGAATCCGGATACTTCCAGAGCAGAAGGAAAGAATGAAAAGGGTAGCACAACTGAGACAGTTAAATAATAATTTAAAAATGGAAAAAGACAGGATCCAGCCAAAAGACTATAGAAAAAGAATACCATAGTGCCAGAGATGAAGTCTGTAAGAAAAGCAGCCAAAACACACTGCGGCTGTGTGCAGAGACCAAGACAGACAACTGAAAAGGTACCTCTGAATTCATAACCCAGCTTCAGCAAAACCATTTGAAATAGTTGCACTAACAGTGATGCAAAAGATGCTGCAACATGTTTGACCAATCGAAGAATCTTACTCATGTAGAAATAGGTTCCTCCTATTGAAAAAAAAAATCCAGTGTGAATACAAATTATTCACCTCTATAAAGATGATATAATTCCATTCTCTGGTGACCATCAGCTTGTGGAAGAGTGAGGATGAAGCATGGAAAGCCTGTTAAGCCAGGTGTATGAAACTTGAGGAAGTGTGGTTTGAGAAGTCTGAATAGTATTAGATATTACAGCAAAGCTATTGTAAGAACTTCACATCCCAGGGAAAAGTCTTTCAAGACAGGATGTGTGGCTTCAGCGAGGATTAAGAACTCTAAATAGCAATGAATTTCTTGCTTACAGAACTCAGGATTTTTCAGTGATGTGAGCTGCAGATCCTGATTTTGTAGGTCAAAGCTCCAAAGAGACAAACTACATTCTTATTTTGGATTTTAAATGGTGAGGACTTTTCTCCTTCTCCTCAGCCTTTACACTGAAGGAAGTTATTACAGTGGTCTGCCTCAAGTGCTAGAGACATAGACTTCTCCTTCAGAGCCACAGGAACAAAGCTGCAGTCTACCATACTGCTGCTTTAACACAATCAGCCCCATTCAAAAAAAATCTGACATGACTATGTGCCCTTTTTTCCTGTTTCCCCTTCCTTCCCCACCCCGGTATGACCCAAACTGCTGGGTTAAAGTTCAAAGGAATGTACAAATAGGAGTTCCTTGTAAAATTCTCCTATGCCAATGCAAACTCAGGAGCACAAAAACCATTTTTCATATAGTATCACTTGAGCAGTTCATTATGCCAAGCCAAAAGAATTCCCACCTGTACTACACATTAACCAGAAAGAAATACTAGCCTCAAAGCATGTAAAGAAAACCTTATAGTTCAAGCAAACACATTTCTTGCTACTAAAAACATACTTCAAGAATCCCAAAACTGGTTCCTTTTTAATTCAGGGCCATTCAAGAAAACCTTGTGGTAACTGAGGACTACCACAAACAACAAACAAGAAATTCAAGAGGCAGGCAGATGCAGTAAAGACACCGAGGACAACCACCCACAGAATGGAGATTGTCTTGGAAAAGCAGAACCTTATGTACAGCAGATTCATTTGTTTTCGAGCTGTGGGAATGGAGTCACTAGGAAGAGTATTTTTCAAGCATTTGAGATTTAGCTTCTCGAAACACTCTAGTAAGCTACAAGGTTAAATGAGGATAAAAGGAAAAAAAAATAAAGCAGAAAGTAGGAAGCTGTATCTCTGAGATTTCCTAGAGAGCAGAAGCACTTCAAAGTAACAATTTTGCTCAATCTTAGAAGTTTTAAATCATGTAAAAAATAAAGAGAAACACACCTGCACAGGAAAAATTTTTATCTGAAAACCCTGACCAAAAAACTTCATAGACAGACATGCATAGATCCAGTTCCAGATGAGGAGACTCTTGTGATCAGTGCTGGTTGGAACTGCCCATTCTGTTCCAAATCATTGTGGAAATAAAACTTGTTAAGATATCACAGCATTTTCATTTGGAAATTGTTTGATTCCTTCAGAAGCACTGAAAAAAATCTCATAATCATGTATCAGAAGCTGACAAGTACATAAAGTTTCAACTGATGTAGATAAAACATATCCAGACAAAACACAAAAGAAAGTAACTTACTAGATGTATGTTTCTGGCTCCTATCCCTAGAGTAAATTCTTGAAGATGGCACACGAGAAGCTGAGTGTGCGGTAAGAACCTCCTTCCGTTCAGAAAGCATGCTGCACTCATTGCAAGTGTAGCCATTAATCACTGTGGTCTGCATTTCTGATGTTGCTATATCGCCATGTCCTTGCAGCAGTGTAGTACCACTACCTAACAAAGCAAAAGTAAAACATTCAGTGCATCAACATCGGTACTGCCATCTCTGGTCATGATGAAATAGAATTCAAGTGGAAAGAAAAGTGTAGTTACCTTTAGGGTCGCTTTCATCATCAAGACCTTCAAAAGAAAAAATAAACTGGTCTCAAATATAAGGAAATCCCATCACCAACTACAATAACTGCCATGAAATCAAATTAAAAGTCCCACTAATTTTAAGACTGCTAAGAAAAGCCACTTTGTGACTAGCATTTAACATATTTTGCTGTCCACCACATGATCAGATCCATATATTCTGACATTAACATAGCAGGGTAACAGTGAAAAGCATTCTACAACAGAAGAGGCAGACAAAACAGTATGAATGATAACCACACCTCTTCTTAGCTCCTATGTGACTTCAAAGAAGATAATTACAAGCTTATGCCATTTCTGCTTCTTGGTAACTACTTTGGTACTACTGTATTTTAAGATCTGTTTTAAGAGCAAGCTAATCTAAAGTTTAGAAATTGTTTTAAGATCGAAACAATACTTTCAGACTCTAGGAAGGTCACAAGTGTACTGAGTAGTGTCCTGGGTTCCGCTGTAACAGTTATTTTTCTCCTTCCTAGTAGTTGGTACAGTGCTGAGTTTCAGCTTTGATCTGAGAACAATGCTGATAACACAACGTTTTAGTTGTTGCTAAGTAATGCTTACCCCGATCAAGGACTTTTCAGTCTCATGCTCTGCCAGTGAGGAGGGGCACAAGAAGGCAGGAGGAAGCCGGGACAGGACACCTGACCCAAACTGGCCAAAGGGCCACACCACAGCACGTCATGCCCAGTATATAAACTAGGGGGAGCTACCCAGAAGGCCCAGATCACTGTTCAGGTCAGGGTGGGTATCAGTCAGCAGGTGGTGAGCAATTGTATTGTGCATCACTTGTGCTTACTTTTTTTTTTTCCCCTTTCAGTTTTATAGTCTCTCCTCTTGTTATTTCCCTTATCATCATTATTATTAGTAGTAGTAACATATTGTACTTTCATTACTAAACCATTCTTATCTCAACCTGTGGGGTTTACATTCTTTCGATTCTCCTCCCCATTCCACCTGGAGGAGGGAGCAACAGGGGAGTGAGTGAGTAAGCAGCTGTGTGGTGCTGAGTTACTGGCTGGGCTTAAACCACAACAACTAGAAACAAATAGTCTGAACTGGGAGATACAGTAAATTGCTGGTCTTCTACATGACACTTCACACAAACAATTCTTTTTGTAGGCAACTCTCATATATTCCTCTTCAATTAAGAAAGTAGGTTCCAGAAAAGTATACTTTTATATACTTGCAAAACCAAACCAGCCAGACACACAAAAACCCTCTCAGGAGAAACTCCAGTGCTTGTAATTTGAAGCTCTTAGATTGACATATGCTAAGTTGAAACACGCTTCTGCCTAAAAACAAATGAGAAAATGTTTTTCCTTTGGCTTTTCACAGACAAGTTACATGTTTACCATTCTTTAACTACAGCACTTTGTGCGATTTGAAGAAAGTAGTGATGAGAAAAAAAATACATCTGCACAATCTATGGTGTTTCATCACAAAATTGCCTATGTTGGCCTGGCATATTAACTTGCCTGGGTAAAGTATCCTGATGTCAACTGTGTCTGTAAATCAAGTTTAAACACTGGACTGTGAATTTCCAGTAAGCATCTTAGCAAGCAGACATCTACCGCAAAAGCGTGAGTACATGCACACATCTGAGGGCAGAAGGGAAAACTGGGTGTGGAAAATAGGGAAGATGTGAATGTACATTCATACATACCAAACCATAACCAGTTTTCACAGTTGGATACAAGCAACAACAATCAATTGCCTACCCCAGAAATGATCAACTTTTGTCTGCTCTTGAATCGAAGATTCATCCAATACAGTGGATACCATCAACGTATCACTGCCATGGCTATTGAAGCTGCTCTGGTTTAAAGCAGAAGAGCTGGAGAGATTTTTCCTTGGCGTGAATCTTTCGCTGCCAGACTGTTTATTCATGCTTCTGCGTTCCTTCACCACCCTGGAAAACAAAGCAAAGACAAATAAGACATGGCAGTAAAGATGAAACTTCGTGTGAGTCTCACAGAAATGAGAAAATAGTCAAGGTTATTTCAACACTGATGTGACAAATCAGGTTTAGAAAAGTCTTCCCCCTCAAGCATCTATATTTACCAATACTTGACTGCAGACCACATACTAAATATTTTCTATAGGTATATAGCAAATAGAAGACAGACTAGGGACAACACGGGCCCTCTCCGGAAGCCATTGGGAGAACTGGCTACCCTGGATTTGGAGAAGGCTGAGGTTCTTAATGACTTCTTTGCCTCTGTCTTCACTAGCAAATGCTCAGACCACACCACCCAAGTCTTGGAAGGCAAACGCAGGGACTGTGAGAATGAAGACCTTAAGCCCACTGTAGGAGAGGATCAGGTTTGACACCACTTTAAGAACCCGAATGTGGACAAGTCCATGGGACCTGATGAAATCCATCCACGGGTCCTGAAGGAGCTGGCAAATGAAGTTGCTCGGCCACTGTCCATCCTATTTGAAAAATCATGGCAGTCAGGTAAAGTTCCTGATGACTGGAAGAAGGGTAATATAACCCCCATTTTCAAGAAGGGGAAGGTGGAAGACCCAGGAAACTGTAGACCAGTCAGTCTCACCTCTGTGCCCGGCAAAATCTTGGAGCAGATTCTCCTGGAAAGCGTGCTGAGGCACGTGAAAAACAATGAGGCAGTTGGTGTCAGCCAGCATG